TTAATCCCAGCACTAGGGAGGCAGAAATAGGCAATCTCTGTGAGTTCAAGGTGAGGCCAGCCTGGTCTACAAAGTGAGTCCAGGACAGCCAGGATTACACAGAGAAACCCAGTCTTGAAAAACCAACAGCAACAAAACAACAATAACAAAAAATGTCTCCTAGCCCGGCATGGTAGCCCACACCTATATCCCAGCACTCACAGAGGCAGAGGCAGTTGGCTCTCTGTGAGTTCAAGGACAACCCAGTCTACAAAGTGAGTCCAGGACAGCCAAGGCTACACAGAGAAACCATTTGGGGGCTGAGGGATGGGCAGGAGTCTCCTGACATCAACCTCTGGCCTCCAGACACGAAAAAGGGGACAATTTGAACACTTTGTTTTAGAACTTAGATCAATTATCATGTAAATTCTCACTTGGTCCAATTAGTCCTGGAAACTGTTACATTCACTATATAGCAGAGACCACTCAGTCCTGGACTTGGCCACAGGTGCCACTTAACATGAGATGACAAAGGCCTACATTGAGTAGATGATACAGCTTAACATGAAATAAATGTTTTAACCAGGTGGTGGAGGCACACACCTTTAGTCCCAGTACTCAGGGTAGTCTTGTCTGAAAAATCCTCCCAAAGAGGGGCTGGAGAGATAAATAGCTCAGCAGTTAAGAACACAGTTCCACCTGGCAATGGTGGTGCAAGCCTTTAGTCACAGCACTTATTCCAGTAATCTGGATGTGATCAGTGGTAAAGTCTCTCGGCTCTTGTTCGTCTTAATTTAAAATGAGCCTAATGTAAAGCTGGGTATGATGGCACATGCCTTTAATCCCCGCACTTGATAGGCAGAGGCAACTGGATCTCTGAGACCAGCTTCATCATCTACAGAGTTCTAGGACAGCCAGAGCTGCATAGAGAAACCCTGTTTAAAAAAAAAAAAAAGGGAGAAAAAATGTTTTAAATAATGGGACTATTAGTGATCCATTATAGTGTTTATTTGCCTGGGTGGCAATTTGTGATTTCTTCTTAAGAGAAGACTTAATGTTCATAATTAAATATCAAGACCAGTATTAGGAAAAGAACATGAGGATGCCCTGGCTGACAGAGGCAAACAAAATGGCCTTCCTTCTTCCCTGTGTGTCTCTTTCAAAAGCCCATTACAAAACAATCAGAGAAGCCCCCACCTTCTGAGGAAAGAATCTTGGCTTTGAGGTAACAATCTAGCTGCCAACACTGGCTCAAATTCCAAATCAGAGGTCCAAAGTCTGACTGTAAACTCAGGCAAGCTGTACCATCTTTGTGAACCTGCCACGACACGGGGCTAATTTTTTTTTTTTTTTTTTTGTGGGGGGCTTTTGTTTGTTTTGAGACAGGGTCTCTCTACATCACCCTAACTGTCCTGGAACTCACTATGTAGACAATTCTCAATGACTGTGCATGGTGGTGCACACTTTTAATCCCAGCACTCGGGAGGCAGAGGCAGGTGGATCTCTACAATCCAAACAGATATGAATCATTAGAGTAGCTTACAGGCTATTGTAGTTAAACAATGGCTTGACAGAAACATAGGAATTTAGTCATTGTTCAGTCTAAGAGACTTGATGTTTCAGCATCAGGGTACTGGGAAGTTCCTGGAGAGCAGTTGATATTCAGTCTACATTAGAATCCTGAAGAGGCACAGTCAAAAAGGGAGCCAAGAAGGCAGCCAGTGAAGGAATTCCTCAGCTATAGGATAGATAAAACTTGATAGTGAGAATGAGGGCAAGCAGGCAAAAAACAAAAGCTTCCCTTTTCCATGTCCTTTTATAGAGGTATAGCCTTGAACTCAAGAGACCATCCTGCCCCGTCTCCTGAGTGCTGAGATTAAAGGTGTGTACCACCGTGGCCAGACACAAAGGGCTATTTGATACAAAACATGAAAGGAACCTGGCAGTGCTTTGGCACATAATTTCTACTAATACAATTCTCTAACAGTTGCCTTGCAATATAAAAGACCTCGATAGTTTTCTTCTTCGAAAAGTAATCACTTCTAAGAAACCATTTATGGTTTCTTTCCATTCTGGGATAGCAGAAGCCAACACTGAAGGTGTCCCAGCACTGAGGAAGAGGCAGAAAGAACTTGAAGACAGTCAGAGTTACAAAGTGAGAATCTGTCTCAAAAAAAAAAAAAAAAAAATGAAGCTGGGTGGGTGTTAAATTTTTCTCACCTTTAATGCTAGCACTCAGGAGGATCTTTATGAGCTCAGGGCTGGCCTGGTCTGTATACAGAGCTATATACCAGCCAAGTCTACATAGAAACCATGTCTCAAAAGAAAAAGAAACAAACAAACAAAAAAAAAAAAAAAAAAAGAAAAGAAAAGAAAATGAATGAATGAATACTGGGATTATTATACTCATGTAACTTTGTAGAAATATAACAAAAAGCACATAGAACATACCTTGCTTATAATATGCTATTATAACGAACATATGAATATGTTGATTCATATGGAGTATTAGAGATTTGTGTCAATTTGTTACAAACAGTAATCATAATGTCTAAAAGTATAAAAAAAAATTCTAGCCAGGTGTGATAGAGCACTCCCTTACTCCCAGCAGATCTGGAGACAGGCAAGTGGAGCTCTGTGAGTTCTGTCTAGGGGTGGGGGTGATTCTGTTCATCTTTGAAGACAATCCTTTCAATAGTTTATCAGAGGACATGACCTTAGAAAGATCTGGGAGGTGGGGGGAAAGCTTCTGTTACTATTTAGCATCCACATGTCTTCAAAGAAAGCCTTCCTTAAAGGGAAACAGGCTGGTGTTTCTCTTGTGACACTGAAGAGTTGAAGTAATTCAATGTAATAGTTATATCTCGAGCACTGGAGTGCTGCATAAGCTGTAATCTTGGCCTATTCATGGGACTGTTCCAGGAAAGAGTCAGGTGAAAGATGCTACATTCTGATAGTCATTCCACACAAGTATTTCTCTTTTAAAACTGTCTAGTTTGGAGTGGTGGTACATCATTATAAGCATTTTGTTACCTATTTGTTGTTGTTACCTATTTGCCACATGATGGCATGTGGCTATCCCAGCACTGGCGAGGGGGTGGGTTATGTGTCTGAAGTAGGACTGACAACCAGGGCTACACAGAGACCTTGTCTCAAAAACTAGTAAACAAAACCAACTGGGCTTGGTAGCACACAACTTTACTCTTAACAACACCTGAGACAAATGACCTCTGAATTCAAGGGCAGTCTGGTCTACATGGCAATTTCTAGTAAAAACCAAACAAAACCCCCAAAGACCAAAAGTTCACATTCTTACCATCTGGGTTAAACTCCCAGCCTTCCCTCCCCCCTTCTCTCATGCACTGGAGCGGTGCATGAGTTTCTCTGTGTAGCCTTGGCTGTCCTGGACTCACTTTGTAGACCAGGCTGGCCTTGAACTCACAGAGTTCAACCTGCCTCTGCCTTCCTGAGTGCTGGGATTACAGTGGTGAGTCACCAAGGCCAGCAAAAGTTCACATTCTTTTATCAGTTTAAAGAAAACAATGAACTACAGGGATTAATATTTTTGGGTTTTGTTTATTTTCCCTGAGATAGGGCTTCTCTGTGTAACAGCAGGTAGATTTGTAGAGCTCAGCCTGCCTATCTCCTGAGAGTTGGAATTAACAGTTTATGCCACCATTCCCAGCTAATAATATTTTTGGGTTTCTGCTCTTGGTTAACCCCCTTCCCTTTCTGTGTGAACTACAGCATGGGCCACATCATTGTGGGCCTCCATTTTTTTTTTTCATTTATAAAATTAAGACATCTCCTGTCTCCCTCATGAATGAAGGGTTTGCGGCTCTGACAAACTCTTACAATAAAGTAGAAGGATTTGGGGTAGTATACTGCTGATATATCACAGATCCTGGGCACACTAGGCAAGCACTCCTCACCCAGCTATGGCCTCACCCAAGCATACCATCCTTAATAAACTCAAAGGGACAAGGCACTGCTTAGACCCAAGAACTATGTTCAAGGTTTACATGTAGAATTATAGTTTTTTAAATCTGCGATGGGATGTAAGAAAATATCACCACAGCAGACTTAGGTCAAAATAATCCAAAAGCAGCTGAAGACCATTTGAAGAATACTGTTCAGGAGCTGCATTAAACTCTGAATTAGTTTTTGTGCAGAAGCTCAAGTAGCCCAAGATGACCTTGAATTTTCATCATTCAGATTCACTCACTTCTCAAGAGATAAGATTACACCAATATACTAGCACATGAGGTAGAGCTGGAGAGCACTCTAGAAATGACCAACAAACATTCCTAACTCCATGACTCAATCAACCTCCTAAGACCAAGGGGAAGCTGGGCGCGGTGGCACACACCTATAGTCCCAGAACTCAATGAGGCACAAGCAGGCAGATCTCTGTGAGTTCCAGGCAAGCCAAGGCTACAGAGAGAAACCCTGTCTCAAAAACAAACAAACAAACAAACAAAAAAGGCCAAGGGGGGAAAAAGACTTTTTTGGTTGTCTTTAAAAAGTGATTAATTGTTAACACGAATTCAATCAATCCCAGCACTTTGGAGGGAGAGGCAGGAAGATCTGAGTTCCAGGCTAGGAAGGACTACACAAAGAAACCCCACCTTGAAAACAAATAAAACACACACACACAAAACAAACAACGACAGCTACAAAAGTAGAGGGCCAGCAAGATGGCTCAGCAGGTAGAGGCAGTTACCACCAAGCCTCAAGTCCTGAGTTTGATCTCCACCCAGGACCCACATGATTGAGAGAACTGACTCCCACAAGTTGTCTTCTGACCTACCACATGTACCGTGTTGACACCCACACACGTGGGCCCACAGTAAATAAATGTCATCTTCAAAAGTATAAGAACTTCCACAACATTAGGACCACCCCACTGAATCTGGGAGAAATATGAATGAAGTACACTTACACCTTAAATCCAGACACAAGCCAACACCAAAAAACTGCAACGGAAATCCCACAGTAAATTTGCCCAAGGTAATACTCACTGAAAGCAGAAAGTTTATAGTCCCAGAGGAAACAGCTACAATAGGAAAGAGAAACTATTTTGTCTCTGGATTGAATCTTCTTTTTTCCAATTCCATTCCTTCTTCCAATACCTAAGATGGAAATGCAGATGCAGTGAACAAAGTCTAGGTCAAGCCGAAGTTTTGCAAAAGTTACAAAAAAAAATTTTTTTTGCTTGTTTTTCGATACAAAGTTTCGCTGTGTAGCCCTGGCTGTCCTGGAAATCACTCTGTAGTCCAGGCTGGTGTCAAACTCAAGAAATCCATCCGCCTCTGTCTCCCAAGTGCTGGGATTAAAGGTGTGCAAGACCACACCTGGCTTTACATCAGGTTTATTTTAATTTAAAACCAATAAGAGCCAAGAGACTTCACCACTGAAAACATTTTCAGATTACTGGGATAAATGCTGGGATTAAAGGCGCACCACCACAGGATCAAAAGTTACAATTTAACAGAGCAGTTTCTGAAACAAACAAAACCATCTGGAGAATAAGCTCTCCTTCAAAAGATTTCTAATGCTAAGTATGAGACATGTAACCGAAGTGCCAGGGAGGATCAAAGGTTATATTCTAGTTTAATGGCACACTACTCCCACTATTATTAACTCCCACAGCTCCCCCCCCCCCCAAATATGGGTCAAAACTTGCTCTCTAGCCAGGATCTATCCCTTTGAGATTTCCACAGGTTTCTGTATACAAACATACTCCTAAGTCTTAAAAATTACCGGACAACATGCTAGGCCCCTGAGGACAAGGCACCTTGTGCCAGGAGGAGATGGTAAGTGTTGGTGGAGCCATTCATCCTTACTCAGTCTGGCATAAATCGCTTCACAATCTCTTCCACTTTACCCACTTTCCCAGTACTACAGAATTTATGCAAAGCAGATACTCCAGGCCCCACCCACTCAACCCTAGGAGAGGGCAATGAAAGCAGATAGGCCCAGAGGAATAAGTGAGCAAAGAGGAGTCATATCAGGGCAAGGAATGAAGGGCAAAACACACAGCTCCGAGGACAGGCATAAAACACAAAGTTTAAGATGGAGGCAAGGTAGTAGGCAAGGGGGGCTAGCGAGTAGACGTGTTAGATGGTGGGGGAGGAAAAAGGAGAAGTGCGAGAGTGAAGAGTTAAGCAAGAGAAGGATGAGACTAGAGAGAAAGAGGCCGGAGCCGGGCGGGGTAGAACAGGCAGAAGAAAAAGGTGAAAAGGAGGATGTGGGACAGGAGAGTACAGGGCACCCGGGGAGTTGGGGAAACGACAGGGCGACGGGTAGAGCAACTGGGTCCGGGCCGCGGGGGTGGAATCCAGACGCCGGGCGGGGGAGGGGACGCTGGGTGGGGGCCACCAGGCGGCGCAGGAGACCACCAAACTTTCCACCGACTGTTTCCTGGAGGGAGTTGAGGCACCGAGGCTACAGCTGCTGCCTCGCCTCCCTGGCCGGGGGCGACCGCGGCCGCCCAGAACCTGGGCACCCGGCCTCACGATCCCGTTGGTCCTCGGCGGGGACACGCAGCCCGGAGGAGGCCTTGCCCACCCGCGGTGGCCGCCTCCGTGAGCCCCTCCCCCATGGCGCCCCGGGACCCCTCGCCCGGCACCTCGAGACCCGACTCTCCAGGTTACTCCTGTCCGCCTCGGAGCTGAGCAGGGCCTCGAGAAGGCCTGGCAGGAGGAAACACGGCACAGCCCCCCTAGGATTGCCCACCTTTTCTCCTGACCCAGACGCGGCTGGGGCGGACGGGACCTCTCGCGCTCTGCCTTCTCTTCCTCCTGCTTCATGGAGCCATGCGCCTGGGTGGAGGTTCCCGAGAAAAGCCGAGCCCCAAGGCGGGTGAGGACGCCCGAAGGAGGCCAGCGGGAGGGCAGAGGAGGAAGCGGCGGGGCGGCGGCGGCCGGGGAAGAACTAGAGGTATTCCCGGGGCGGGCGGAGGACCGAGTCGAGTCGGGACCCGAGTCCTCCTCTATCCCAGCATCCACCGGAGGCAGTGAGGTAATGGAGGAAGAATGTAGGGAGTCCTCCAGTGGACCAAACGTCCTCTAGCGACTCGGTGAGAACCATAGAGCTCCCGAAGCGCTGAGAGGACCGCCCACTAGTCACGTGGCCGTAGTCCGCACATTTTTGTGATTGGCGCTGGTTAACGTATAGGCTACAGCTTTCCGTTTGTGGGGGCCGAGCCTCGGGCAGAGAGTCTCAGGCTGTGAGAGTCCCCAGGAAGACCTGGGGCCTACTGGGATCCTACCCTCCTGCGGGCGCGGAGCTCACCCAGAGCCGTTCACCGGTGTCAGGCCGGCCGGCGCAGTGTTTGCCGGGCGGCCTCAGCCAGCCCGCGGCGCAGAGCACGCCGGGAGTTGTAGTTCTGATCGCACCACGGCATTGTCCTGGAGGTTGCAGGTGGCACTTGGAGCTGCCGCCCAGGGAGCTCTGGCCTTCCCCAGGCAGTCACCCACGTTAGCGATGCAATTCGGAGCTGCCAACGGCTTTTCTCCCCTTTCGCCCACGCTCACATCACTCTGCCTGACCGAGTGTCCGCCTTCGAAAGCGGCCTGGAAGTAGGCAGCTTAAATCAAGCCAAAGACTGCCAGAACCAGGCCCGTGTGCCAGGCTGAATGTCAGACGTTGGCACTTGGCCTCCTTAGATTCCCGTTGCACTGGAGAAGGGCAGGCTGACTCAGCTTTAGGGGTGGCCCAGGCAGCACCTAGTCAGGGATGTACTTCAGCACGACCATAGCCCCAGATGATGTCAGCAGAATACCCACTGTACATGATAAGGCTAAAAGGACTAACTCCAGAGTAGGGTGGGTTCCCAGCACCCACATGGCTGCTCTCAACTGCTGTAACTCCAGCTCTAAGAGATCCAACACCCTCTTCTGGCCTCCCGGGCACTGCACACATGAGCTGCACATAAGCCTGTCAGCATACATACACATTTTAAAAAAAAGTCTTTTTTAAGTTGCTCAAGCACGTTTTCTGTTAAAGTATGAAGGCATGCTTAATGTGCTTGACTTCAAAAGACCAAAGGAAAAGTTTAAAAATTTTAAATTATGTTTAATAGTGAAAATTTCCAGCAAACCCCTTCTGCTCAAGAATACATGGTGTATGGAAGCATAATAAATTCTACTAGTGCATAATTACCTGTGAGAAACAAAACCTGAGGAAACTGAATGTTCAGTGCCTTATAGACTCAAGCTTTTAGAGAGAATCCACCAAAGATGTCAAGAAGAAAGATAACCCTATGCTGTATGGAAAGAAAGGTAACTTTTACATATATATATGTGTGTGTATATATATGTATATACATAGTCCCTACAGTAGTCTTTATTATTTCTATAACAAACCTGAAGTACTTATTGCTGGTTGAAGCCACACTAAACAGTGTCTGACTTTCCCTGTCTGCCTGAAGAACTGAGAACTATATGATCATATGACTTAGAGCCTGAATCACAGGAGGCAGAAAACCAGAGAGCAGGCTTTTGTCTTTTTTTTTTTTTTCTCTTCTGAATAAGAAGGCAAATTCCAACTTTAATCAAAATAATTTCACATAGTGAAGGTCTTTTCTAGCTGAATGTTTTAAAACATGACATTTGGGGAAAGGCCTCAGTCTACAGCTCCCACGGTGGTGCTAGACGGCCATTAAACAGCCCAGAGCTAGGGGAGTTATTGCTCCCTGGTTACCAAGCTGCCAGGAGGTAAATAATAGAACTAAGCTGGACTTGAAACACTCTCAAATTAAAACAGTTGTTGCTGTGAGCTGGTCAAAGGCATTTTATTGAGAAGTAGGGTCCAGATGCTGTCTTTGTCTTTACCTGATGCTGAGGTGGGGGAACAGGAAAAAAAAAAAATCCAGTGTCATCTCATCCACAAGCAATGGTCAGAAATTATGAAAACATAAACAAAACAGGCCTGGGGCTGTGGCTCTGTGCAGTAAACCTCCCTCGTTTGGAAGTGATACAGGGTTCAGTCCTCACCACGCGGGGGGGGGGGGGAATGGACTGTGAGCAGGAAGAAAAAAACTAGGCAATAACTTCTGTATGGGAAGGGTTGTGGCATTTTGTTTTCTTTTCTTTTCTGCATTACATGCAGAAATTCCCCTATCCCAGACAGGGTTACTCTGTGTAACCTGGAATTGGAACCGGCTGTCCTAGAACTCTGTAGACAGGGCTGGTTGTGAACTCAGAAATCTGCCTGCCTCTGCTTCCCAAATGCTGGGGTTAAAGGTGTTTGCTGCTACCATGTTGTAGGCTGTGATTAATATCCTAAACATCTGTATACCCAAATCACCACACAGAGACTGGGATTTATTTAATTAACCTAGAACACAATGCTGGGCAATAGTTACTCCATCCTAAACCTCCAAGCCCTCATAGTTTCCTAACATTTAGATTTCCCACATTATTATTATTCAGCAGAGCTGGGAGAACAGAGGCAGGAGCAGAGGTCTTGGAACGACGTGGAGAATGAACTGGACCTAAGATTTCACTAAAAGCAAGTGTAATGTGCGACCTAAAACAACAGGTTTCTCCAAAAATGTTTGCCTTTCCATCATTTCTTACCTTGAAGGTTAAGACAATGGTGTCATAATTACGGGCTTTCACTCTGGAATCAGACCGTATAATTCCAATTCCAGCCTTGACAATGAATTTCTGAGCATGCTTTACTCTGTTGAGTGAAGCTTACCCGCCTCAAAGGATTACTATATTATCTGCTTTGTTTTGTTGTCCTTTTACAACCTGTAATCTAGTTCAGGTTGTCCCCAAACTCCATATGTAGTCAAGATGTCCTCCTGATTCTCTTGTTTCCACCTCTTACACGCTGTGATTACAAATATGTACCACATGCCCAGTGTTGTTTGTTGTTTTTGTTTTATCTATCTGTCTGTCTGTCTGTCTATCTGGTTTTTCAACACAGGGTTTCTCTTTATAACCTTGGCTGTCCGGGACTTGCTTTGTAGACCATGCTGGCCTTGAACTCACAGGGATCCCCCTGCCTCTGCCTCCCTGAGGGCTGGGACTCCAGGCGTGCGTCACCACGCCTGGCTACGTGGCCAGTTTTTGAGGTGGCCCTGAGGCCTGATTCCAGGGTGTTGTGCATGCTCAGCTAGCACTCTACGGATTGAACCACTCCTCCGTCCTTAATGTTTTTTTCATTTGCTTGGTTTATTTTCTTATTACTTTTTCAGCTTTTAAAAGTATTTTTATATTATTTATGTTGGTTTTCTGTATGTGAGAGTGTTTTATCTGCATATATGAATATGTACCATGTGCATGCAGTACCTAGAGATGACAGAAAAGGATGTCAGATTCCCTTAGAACTGGAGCTAGAAACAGTAGTCATCCGCCATGTGAGTGCTGGGAATTTTACCTGGTTCCTCTGGAAGGGCAGTCAGTGCTCTTAACTGCTAAGCCATCTCTTAGATTTTTGGTGGTGGTGGTGGTCGGTTTTGTGGTTTTGAGACAGGGTTTCTTTATGTAGCCTTGGCTGTCAAGGGACTAGCTTTGTAGACCAGGCTGGCCTGCAACTCAAAGATCTGCCTGCCTCTTCCTCCTGAGTGTCGGGTTAAAGGTGTGAGCCAGCACACCCAGTTCCTATATTTTTTTTTAAGATTTATTTATTATTTATACAACATTCTACCTGTACACCAGATCTTACTATAGATTGTTGCTGGGAATTGAACTCAGGACCTTTGGAAGAACAGTGAGTGTTCTTAACCTCTGAGACATCTCTCCAGCCCATGGTTTTTGTTTGTTTGTTTGTTTGTTTCTTTTTGTTTTTTAAGATAGTTTTAGCTGGCTTGGAATTTATTTAGATCAGGAATCAGGTTGGCCTGAAACTCATAGCCAGCTGCCTGCTTCTTCCTAGAATAAAGACACACACATATCACCATGCCTAGGTTGTCTGTTTGTTTGCTGAGACAGAGCTACAGTGTCTCACCCTATAGCCTATGCTGTCCTGCAAGTCATTGTCCCACACTGACCTTGAACTTGAGTCAGTTCTCCTCCCGCAGCTGCCACCTGAGTTCTGGTATTATATATGTAAGTACCTTACACACACTTGCTATGAAAACTTAACCTTATATGAAGGTATTATGGAGAATTAGTACTGCGGTAGTTTGAATGAAAATGTCCCCCATGGGCTCACATATTTGAATATTTGCTCCCCAGTTTGTGGAACTGTTTGGAAAGGATTAGGAAGTATGGCATTGTTGGAAGAGGTGTGTCAGTGGAGGCAGGCTTTGAGGTTTCAAAAGCCCATGCTATTCCTAGTTGGATCTCTCTCTCTCTCTCTCTCTCTCTCTCTCCCTCTCCCCCCTCCCTCCATCTGTGTGTGTGTGTGTGTGTTTCCTACCTGTAGATCAGATGTAAACTCTCTCAGTTACTGCTCCAGCACCATGCTGCCTGCCTGATACAAAACTCCCTGTCATAATGGTCATGGACTAATCCTCTGAAACTGTAAGACTCCAATAAACTCTTTCTTCTATAAGTTGTCTTTGCCTTGGTGGGTTTTGTTGCTGTTGGTTTTGTTTTGTTTTGTTTTGATTTTTTCAAGACAGGGTTTCTCTGTGTAGCCTTGGTTGTCCTAGATTCACTTTGTAGACCAGGCTGGCCTCAAACTCACAGTAATCCCCTGCCTCTGCCTCCCTAAGTGCTGGGATTAAAGGCGTGTGCCACCACCGCCCAACTGCCATGGTGTTTCTGTCCTGGCAGTAGAAGGAGTAATAAAGACTTAAGAAGTTGATCTCTGGTTCCACACATTTGTACACATGCACACCCTTCGGCAGGTGAACACGCCCACACCACATATGTGCACCTGCCCATGCCCACACACGCATACAGGCATGCGCACCCAGAGAGGGAGGGAAAGAGAGAGAGAAGAGTTTGAGGCCAGCCATAGCTACCTACCAAGACCCTGCCTCAAACTTTTAACCACTACCAAGAAAAAAAAAAAAAAAAAAAAAAAACTAAACTAAACTAAAATCAGACAAGCAGATGATAACCCTTGAATGTTTAGATTTTGAAAAGGGAATAAGGCTGTTATAGAGGAATCTGTATAGCCAAGGGCAATGGTACAGGCCTGTGACTAGCTACTGGGAA